GGGGGGGGAGGGAGGAGATAAGTGGGTAATATAGAGCAAACAAGTGTGCTACATACCTATCATGTCTAATAAATTCTACATCATGTCCCTGATGGCACTTCTTAATGCAGTTCACACATATGGCATTTCGATCTGTGGTGTTACAAGTGTGACATCTAAAAAGCAAAAGCTTACATTATTTTTCTTGAAATGTTACTTCTTCAAAATTTTCATTTTACCCTATGACCTATGGCTTAAAAGAGGACCAAAACCAAAATTTTTGTCGCTCCAGCCCAGGTTAATTTCTTCAAAAGGACTTTAATAAGTGAATCTTCTGTGTCTTCTGAGAAAAACAAATGATTTGCAAATTGCAGAAGGCAGCTGAAACTTTAAGAAAAATTTAACCTGGGAGCAGGGTGGGAAGGGAGTCAAAAACATCTCAGTGACTGGGGCATGTGGGACACTTAATTACAGCTTTACTTTGAAACTCCTAGGCAAAAGCATTGTGGTGATAGCAAGAGTTGTTGCGGTATACTTTTCCGTATTTATGGTCCCAAACAAAATCCTCAAGTAGGCTGATCACAGAACTTAATGTGGACAAATATAACATTCTCAATTATATTCTCTTCCCTTGGTAAATTTCCAAATACCCAATTTTCTCTACCTTTAGTTTACATGAAAGAGAAAAATCTAGAAATGTTGCATCTTGCCAGTTTAGAAAAGAAAATCACTTATCTCCCCCTTTTCAAGACTCACAAGTAATTTAGAAATATACCTGTAGAAATCATGCATGGGATAGCTGGTGTAACTTGATATTTTATATAAACATTGGCCTCTACTAACAGCCTTTTCTATGGCATCTTGATTGTTCATTATTTTGTTATCTGTAATAAAAGAAAAAATAAGTAAAATTCTAGAGGACAAAGACTTAAGATAAAAATACAGATTATAGGATTATTCTAAGAGTCACTTTTTAAGACCTTTAAAGGAGGCTAACCAATTAAATAAAAAAATCAGCTTAAAATAGAAATGGATTTTCCTTTGTAAGATACTCCGTTTAGAACAAGTCAAAGCTTTCAAAATAGTTACTTGAGTTGTAGTTAACTTGGTAGAGTGACAGCAATGACTTCGATACAGTTATCTTTTCATGGCGTATTTTGTGTATTTATAGGCAGAGCAGACTCCAACATACCTTTCATTGTCACATTAACACCAGATGCTAAAAATAAGCCTCCAAACCGGTTGTTAAAAATCTGATTGCCTTCTAGTGTTGCAGTTGCATGATTTGTAATTTCAATACCTGAAGTAAAATTTACAAACAGTAGATACATCATTACATTATACAGTTTAACATCTAAAGAATAAGATGCAAATGTTTGAGTCACTGAGAATAACATTTATTTTCTGCTAAAGGAAGGAATGCTACTACAGATGGTTCACAGCTTACTACTAATTTTCCTGGCAAGCAGAAGAGGATAATGCCTGCCCGTATGTATGTTTAGGTAGCCACTAGTTGTACATACGAAGAAAAAAAAAAGTGTCATCTTCTCTGGCAAAAAGTTGAAATATATGCACAATACTTGGATTTCACTTACGAAGATCTTGGGGGGAAAAAAAAGTTTTTGAGAGGCCAGAGGGCTTGAATTTATTTGTATTCCAAATGGTAGTACAAGCCTGCATTCTATCCCAATTAAGGTTTCATAATTACTACTGAAGAGCAAGAGACATGTCTTAAAAGTTTGGCTTAGCAGAATCCCGAACGTTGGATTAGGCGCTCTTATAAAAGCCCATTGTTAACTGACAGTCATTCAGCCACTTTTGCAACACACTTTGCACACCTTCAGTTACTAAACAAAAGAGAATTAATATACTAAAGATCAAACACTTTATAAAAAACAAGCTACAGGTAAAAAAATACAAACCTGCAGCAAATCCATCAAATATTCTGTTTTTCCTTAAGACTGGATGACTATTAGTGCTGATGAGAACACCTGCTTGAGCATTCCTGAAAATATCATTTTCTTCAAGGAGACCTATAATAAAATATTTCCTCAGATTAAGGCTAATGCACAAACAAATTTCACTAGCCTTTTTGGTGATATTTAAGTTTCTTATTAACTGCTGTATAAAACTCAAAGGACTAATTTTTCAGCTGACAAGTTTATTAGTAATTCAGAGGAGTTTAAGGTAGGACTTAACCAAAAACTGCTTAAAATGGCAGGTAACCATTCTAACCAATAACTGGAAATTCCATGGTACCACAAACCATGCATTCCCAGTGCCTGGCACCTATTTCTCACTAAAAAACACTGATTTAAAATTAGTTCCTTTGAAGTATTGTTAGAACTATTGCAGCCTCAATGCTTTCATTCAAGCCCTGATTATTTCTGGTCATTATTATAATCATTACTTGATAACTTCGTTTACTGCAGTCTCTCTTCTGCTATTTTTCCCAGTTTCCTACAACTCTTACCATGTGCCTTCTCTGAAGATATTCCCCTAACCTATTCCATTGTCTTACTGAATGCTCTGAATATGCTATACATTTTTATCTCTAATGCCTTTGGTTTGTATTATTTCCTCATCCTGGAATGTCCTGCCCTCTTTCTTCCTAATGTCACCTCCTCTGGAAGATTTCAGTTTCCCTCCATCAAATTTATTATTCTCTCTTCTGAGAGTGTAACATGATTTAAAAAAATGAGCTGAGGAGGCACCTGGGTGGCTCAGTCGTTAAGCGGCTGCCTCCGGCTCAGGTCATGATCCCAGAGTCCTGGGATCGAGTCCCACATCGGGCTCCCTGCTCAGCGGGAAGCCTGTTTCTCCCTCTCCCACTCCCCCTGCTTGTATTCCTGCTCTCGCTGTCTCTGTCAAATAAATAAATAAAATCTTTAAAAAAAAAAGAGCTGAGGAATCAGACTTAAGGACTTCAAATATGGATTCCACCACCTCCTAGTTCTGAGTAGGCAAATTGCTTACTACTCTGTCTCATTTCCTTATCTAAACTGGGCATAATGGCACCTATATATGAAGGTTATAATGAGGACTGAATTAATACATGTAAACATACACTGCACTGAAGAATTAGCTAATACTACTCCTATAAAACCTACTTATGTATAGTGAATTATCATTAGTTGCATACTAGCGTTTCTGTGCTCTCTGAAGACATGAAACGTATTTCTGTAGAATTTCGACCTGCCTGTGGCACTTCAGTTTTGACCTCTAAATTGCTTTTCCCCTGGAAAAGACTACTCCAAGTCCCTACCTCTAATCTTTGCTTTTGCTAAGATCCAGTCTGAATTCCGTATACAAAGTCTCTTAGAATCTGGGCGCTGCACCCTTTCTCTAGCCTCAACTCTCAGTACCTCTTTGCGCCTTACTAAATAGTACCACTTTGTTTCCTTTACACTTTTGTTTACAATGTGCCATTAGACTATGAACTTTCTGGATGTAGTACCGTTTTATTCACCATTTATCTTTAGCATCTGTATCAATTGTTGGTACAGAAGTGTTCAATTAATAAATATGTACAAAACAAATGAGAGTGTGAATTATGCTTTCTACACCAGGAATGGTCTCCCCACCCAACATTTACCAGTGAATACTCATTTTTCAAGACACAGCTCAAGAGTGATTTTAGTCCATGAACCTTTTCTCAACACCTTACAAATAAAACCATCCACTGTATTGTGTTTCCTCATTTTATCTTGTAAAGACTACCAGATATGTCACCTTTTTGAATTACTAGATTATGCGCTCTTTCTATGTCATTAATGGAATCGTCACTGCTTGGCTGCAGTAGTAAATTTTGTTGATTATGTTGTAGTAATATCTAGCTATTCCTTCCATATAAGATATGTATAGTGCTGGGTTACTGACATTTCAGGAATGGTGATAAATTTGCATTTGACATTCCCCGCTAGTCTCTCTTTTGGAACAACATGCATTTGCAAGGGGCACGGACTGTGGAACTTTTGCCTCAATGCAAAATGAGTTGACCTTTATGTATACAAAACCAGGCACCTTGGCTTCATTAATTCCACTCTCCAACAAACACAGCTGTAAACAGGTACAACAACAATACTTATTTACTACATTTTCATGTATTTACAGGCCAATTAATTTCTAACCTAGTTCTGTAACTGGACCCTGGTGTTTATTATAATCGTATCATGTGCTCGCTTCGGCAGCACATATACTAAAATATAATCGTATCACTATTCTAAATAATAGAAAGTCCAGAGAGAAAATGTAAACAGATTCTACCTTAAAAATGCCTAACAACTAGCACATTCAGGATGGCTACAAAAAGAAAAATTGTGTAAACATCTGTCTCCTTTACCTCTAGGCACTAATCTAAACCATCTCAAGACCTGATAAGGAAAAAGACTGAGATTCACTCATATAAAGCTTATATTAATTGGCAATGTCACTGATCATTAAAGATATGGAGGAAGAATAATGAAAAATTGGATTTTTTACTAATGCAAAATTAACAACAATACCTCGACCCCCATTAAATATACAGATGCCACCATCTCTTCCATCATGGATTTTATTTCTTCTTAGTGTAGGATTACTATCTGTCTTGATCCAGACTCCAGCCATGGCATTGTCAAATATTTCATTGTCTTCTATACAGCCTAGACCTGTAAGTATAAATATTTAGGTTATGTTATTTGGAAAGTATATTTCTAAAGGCAATTAGCAATAAGAAAAAGATGAAAGATTAAACATACCAGAATTATAAACAAGAATTCCACCATTTTGTCCTCCCCAGATTTTGTTGCGTCTAATTTTGGGGTTGCTTCCAGTCCTACGGATACAATAGAAATTAATGCCATCTTAACCGCTTCTACTCCCATATCCCATGTTATATGAGGTAACAGTGAAAAAATTCATATTAATCACAGTAAGAATAAGTATACGGTGGAGTCTGTCCAGATGCTCTTGAGAAGTTTGTCGGTAAAGACAGTTTAGTTTTGCTTAATTCTATTTCCCACAGAAAACTAGCTATAGATTACATTATTACTATAGAGTCTCCTAATATATAAACTAAACTGAGGAGGTTAGATTAAGTGACTACTATTACTGTATACTCACCTCATATATAAAATGAAGGGAATTATAAGTACTATTACAGTTTCTAAAACTGTTAAAATACAGGAAAGAGGGGTGTAAAAACCTAACTCTTTTACAGAAATAGTGTAAAAACAGAAGCTCCCATTTACTGAGTGCCTACAATATGCCGGGTACAGCTCACAAGTGTTTATACAGCCTCCTACTTCCCAAGTGTGACGGAGTACGCTGGCGACTGTGACTGTGACTGTGGATGACAGAACAGTGGAAATGTGCTCCTACAGCAGGCTCATGTGCCACTGGCTGCTATCCTCAGCTGGTTCAAGAAAAGCAATATTCTGACAATTTAGGCCAAGCATGTGGTAAGAGCATGAATATATGTACAAAAGGAGGAATAAAAATTGAGCATTAAATAACAAGGAAAGTTCTTCTACATACCCCACATACTCCCACCCAACTGGCCCTCCTGAAAGAAAGCCAAATGTGAAAAATGCTTACCTTATCTGAACCCCTGAATACATATGATTATAGATATCATTGTCCTCTAGCACTCCATGTCCATTGTCATAAAAATAAACACCAACCTAAAATTAAAAAAAAATTTGTTTTCAAATGACAACAAAACTTTATGAAACAATGTATTTCCCATGTAAGAGTCCAAAATAATTTTACCTGCTTTCCACTATGTATCCTGTTTCTTCTCAGTACTGGAGTGCTGCCAGTTGTCACCCAGACCCCAGCCAGAGTATTACTATAAACTTCATTCTCTTCTATTACGCCTTGTCCTTTCTCATGCTGAATAAAAGTTACATTGATACAATATATATCTTTTAGAACCAAGTAGTTTATAGTGTGCTCCCCCCTTTAAAGACAGTTATAATAAAAAAAAAATCCCAATTTTTATTTTTTAATCTGGATGAGGAGGTAGTAACATTGTTTTTGTGTAGCCTCTGAGTTTAAGCTCCACAAGTTTTTATACTGTCTTTATGTGGTTTTGTACTTTTAAGCTTCTTATTTCATTCTAAGATATGTAACATTTAGTTTAGTAAACTAATAGTTATTTCAAATTACTGGTGAAATCATTCAAAATAAGGTCTCAGGTTACTAAAATACTTATTTTTATATTTTGAACAGAGGACTTAAGACATGGACATTTCTAGAACTGAAAATAAAAATTAGAGTTAACACCTGGCATTACACAAGGACCTTTCTGAAATTTCCTACATCTTCTCACTTGAATCAGTTGTAACAGTTTCAGATATACCATGGTAACAGAAGGTATAGGACCAATACATGGTTTTAAAATTTTGTAAGATGCTCAATTATGTCTCAATATAAATTCAAATGAAAAATGGACTTCTCAAAAAATACTAAAAAAAAACTCAGGTCTAGTATTATTAGTACTTTCAGTGGTATTATGGATTTAGACTCCTAGCATAGTCACACCAGCAAAACTCCGGTGTAAAAATAAAACTCAGCCAATGAGTTGCTGTTTTGAGTTCAGCCCATAATGACAATTATAATTAAAGACTTTAATAAAAAAAAAAGGTACATTCTCTATGTCTAAATTCAGTCAGTTGAATGAATTTTATAGAACATTACACATACTATAAAAGTCATTCATATACTGGCAGGGAGAACAAGAGTGTTATTTATTGTGTAAATTTTTTTTTTTAAGATTTTATTTATCTGAGAGAGAGAGAATGAGAGACAGAGAGCATGAGAGGGAGGAGGGTCAGAGGGAGAAGCAGACTCCCCGCCGAGCAGGGAGCCCGATGCGGGACTCGATCCTGGGACTCCCAAGATTATGACCTGAGCCAAAGGCAGTCGCTTAACCAACTGAGCCACCCAGGCGCCCTACTGTATAAATATTAAAGACAGTCATAAATTCATACTCTGTAAGCTGAATATGGCCTAACTAAGGCCAGATGTAATTCTGTCCTCTTCCACCCTTTCTCCCCTGGTTTTGATGCATGACATTCTAGAACTACATTAACTTACCACATAAATCCCACCATGCTGGCCATCATGAATTTTGTTATGTCGAACAATTGGACAACTGTTTGTCCTAATCTGAATTCCTGCTAACGCATTGCCTATTTAAAAATAAAAGTTACAATGTCAACATATGGAGCCTCATGGAACACAGTAAGAGTTTTATATTACATGGTAGTTAAAATTTTTAGAATTTTAGGAAAGCACGATTTTGTGAAATATGTCATATTCAGAAAGATATTTATGGTCCAAGAGCATTAAAAAACCAAAACTAAGGGAACTAGGAGTATAAAAAGAAAAATTGTAGGCAGTATGGGCATAATAGTTATGAATAGAGACTCTGAAGCCAGGCTGCCAAGTTTTGAATCCCAGGAATTCTATCTTCCTGTGTGACTTTTAAGTTATTTAACCTCATTGTACCTCTGTTTCCTGATCAATAAGTGGGGATATTTAATAGTGTCTACTTCACAGGGTTGATGTAAATATTATATGACTCAATTCAGGTAAGATGTTCAGAATAATACCTGGAATTGAGTAAGCTTTATGTAAGTATTATCCAGGTAAATAGTAGCAAAAGAGAAAGCCCTGGAACATACCAGTGTCTAGCACACACACATCTAATAATGGTCCACTGAACTAGTATCTCAAAAAGTTTTAATGAGGAATAAGTATTTTCCCTTTATAGTTTTTTTTTTTTTTAAAGATTTTATTTATTTGAGAGCAGGAGAGTGAGAGAGCATAAGCAGGGGGAGGAGCAAAGGGAGAGGGAGAAGATTTCCCCACCGAGCAGGGAGCTCACTGTGGGGCTTTATCCCAAGACTCCAGGATCATGACCTGAGCCAAAGGCAGACACTTAACCGACTGAGCCACCCAGGCGCCCCTCCCTTTATAGTTAGTACCAAAGTGAAAAAAGAGTAAATCTAAGGATATTGTAGATACTCCCTGAGACTAAGGTCTTATTTATATTTTCATCACTGGTATCTAGTATAGTTCCTGGTACACAGTGGGTACTCAGTAAATGTTAAGTGAATAATGATTGTTAAGTAAATAAGTATCACAAATAATCTTTATTGAAAATTTAAAGGACCAGTTCTCCTACTTGAATGGTTTCAAAATGGTCCATTTTGCTAATGTCTGGAAGACAGGCCAACCTCCAAAATTTTATAGAACAAAACATGCTTACCATAAATGTCATTTCCTTCAATAAGGCCTCGTCCATCACCAAAGATGTAAACTCCCCCTTGATTTCCATTAAATATAGAATTCCCCCTATAATTATGAGAAATAATAAAAAAAATAAACATTATTCAGTAAGAGCTTATTTGTTTAAAAAATTATTTATCTTCTAGGGGCCATAGTTTCCTAATCTGTAAAATGAGGGACTCAGACTAGATGATTTCTAAGTTCCCTTGTTTTCTTTCTAAGACCTAAAGCTTAAAAGAGCCACCTAAGTATTTGAGATAAAATAACATTCTTTTTTTAAAAAAATATTTTATTTATTTATTTGACAGAGAGAGACACAGCAAGAGAGGGAACACAAGCAGGGCGAGTGGGAGAGGGAGAAGCAGGCCTCCGGCTGAGCAAGGAGCCTGATGCGGGGCTCGATCCCAGGACCCTGGGATCATGACTTGAGCCGAAGGCAGACGCTTAACGACTGAGCCACCCAGGCGCCCCTCAAGATAAAATAACGTTCTTAAACATTCCCCTCAAAATAGCTAATACATTTAGAACTTTTTTCTTAGCTGATCTAGACACATTTGCTGCATATTAACAAAACGGAAATTCCATAATCTACTTTCATAAAGCCAGTGGAAAATAAACCTTAGCAATAAAAAATAATTCATCAGGGGCGCCTGGGTGGCTCAGTCGTTAAGTGTCTGCTTTCGGCTCAAATCATGATCCCAGGGTCCTGGGATCGAGCCCCGCATCAGGCTCCCTGCTCAGTGGGGAGCCTGCTTCTCCCTCTCCCACTCCCCCTGCTTGTGTTCCCTCTCTCCCTGTCGCTCTCTCTCTGTCAAATAAATAAAGAGAATCTTAAAAAAAAATTCATCATTACTGATTAAATTATAATAGTTCTGTTCTACAGTCTTAGCCAACACCTTTCAGACTAGATCTGTTTCCTTACTATAGTCAGAGGGAATGATAGGAACTATTAAAGAAAAGTGATGGCTTGAAAGTTTTGACTTTTTGTTATTTTTGTTCTGTCTGTCCAAGAATCTTTGAGATAATTACTTTCCTGAGTTATGCTATCTGCACACTCTCAGACAAAAAAAGAGAAGACAAGGTCATTCAGGTTCCAAGAGAAGAACATGGCCCTATGTACTCATTTATAATGCAGTTTGATGAATTTAAAATAAAAATCACAGCATTTGCAACTGCTCATAAAATAATAATATGCATGACTTAGATCGTTAAAAAACAAACAGAACACCCGAAAATAAATGCAATAGTTATGCTCATTCAGATGCACAGACATTTACTAGGAAAATCTATTCTGCAGTAGTCAGGTATCTAGGAAAAACAGAGTTAAAACTTGACTTTTCTTATAACACAAAAAGTGAAAAAGTAACTTCTATCCATAATTACATATAAATACCTTATTGTTGGGTCACTATTTGAGGTAATCCATACACCTGCAAAGTTGTTTGCATAGATTTTATTCTCTATGAATTGTCCTCTTCCTTTTTCATGCACATATATTCCTCCAGTCTGCCCATGATGAATTTCACATCGAACCACTGTGGGGTTAGCATAGGCTTTTACTTCAAAGCCTGCTATTCTGTTTCTGTGTATGTTGCAACTTTCAAAGTAACCCTGAAAAATACAGAAATCAAACTGTAGGTAAGGCTACTTTCCAAAAAGAAATGACATTTTAAAAAAATGACCTTTTTACTGTATGCCTCAAATCAAGTATCAGAAATGTTCAAGAGTAAGAATAAAACATAGATACACACTAAATTTCAAATGATAAACAAGGAATAAATGAAATTTAAATGTTTTAGTAAAACAGAGAACCACAATTCCTCTAATTAGTTTGAGTATACTCACAGCCAGGAAAGAAAATAGGGATTTATTCAATAAATGCAAATAAATACTATTACCCAATAAATATACATACCCTTTAAACAAAGATTTATTGAGTATTAAAAAAAACAAACCCTTGGAGATTTAAAAATGTCCCAAGAAAACGAATTCTAAAAAGGTAGTGACCTAAGGACATAATCACAGACTACAGAAAAATACACATAAAATAATGTTCATCTTAGCCCAATAATAGGGAACAGGCTAACTTATATTCATGCTTTACATGCTATCATGTTAAATAAAAGGAACAGTACATACTTCGAGATAGTATACATTAAGTATGATCTCAATTTTATTTCAAGAAAATGTAACTTGAACAATAAAATAAAAATGAGGGTGTGATTATCTGAAGTATTATAGATGGCTTTTGTATCCTTTATATGTCTCTGATTTTCTTAAATTTTCTGTAATGGATAGGCTTATTTTGTAATGAGAATAAAGTTACTGTAACACTGATATCCTAAATTTTAAGATTCAATCAAGACTAATAAAAAATTTTTTTTTTTTAATTTTATTTATTTATTTGACAGAGAGAGTGAGCAAGAGGGGCACAAGCAGGGGGAGCAACAGACAGAGGGAGAGGGAGAAGCAGGTTCCCGGCCGAGCAGGGAGCCTGATGCGGGGCTCAATCCCAGGACTCTGGAATCAGGACCTGACCCAAAGGCAGACACTCAACTGACTGAGCCACCCAGGCACCTCCAATCAAGACTAAATATTAAGAGAAAAAAAAATAAGATATTCCTAAGATGGCACTTCTAAAAGCCATTTCAACTCCTGGTCTATATCTCCCTTCAAAAACTGAATATGCTCTCCTTTCTTTAAATTCCCTCTAAGTACTAAGTATTTTCTTAAGGTACCTCTATGTACTGCTTTGTACTGTTCCTTTGTCATATCCATTTCTCCCTGATCATAAGCTCCTGTATAGAAATGACTATACTAACTTCTGTTGCATTTATACAGGACTTCACATATAGAAAGCACTCAAGCAGGAACTAATTTATTATTTTTCGCAAAATCTAGTGGAGGTTAAAAACAGGATAATTCTGAATACTCTAGTTTACTTTTAAGAAAACAGACCTCTGAGAATAATATTCAGAAGTAGTTTCAGGTTTCATTTTCCACAAATAAAGTACAAATTATCTGTAACTTCTTCATATTTGGATTAAATATTTTTTTAATTGGGGGGATTACACTAAAAATAGCTTCTTTAAATATAAAAAGCTTCTTTGATTTTATACCAAATAAAAATGAATGTACGCTGGGTATATATACAGAAGGGAGCTCAATTAGGCTCCTACTTTCTCTGCTGGGAGTTGCATGACATATCTGGTTGGTAAACTTGGGAATGAATAAACTGGGTATGACTAATTCAGCTTTGCCCTTAACCTCAGGGAAGTGAGCTCCCCTAAAAGAGCATGCCTTCTGCTACTACTCCACGAACAAATCTTGTGATTTGTTCGTGGAGTAGTGAGTGAGTAAGCTTATTTAATTTTGGGGTGCAGTGAATCAGACCCATTTGGTTCTTATTTGAAGCTGTATTCTCCAACTTAACCTTTAAAGGGTAATAAAATGATTATTTCAGCCTCCTCATGCTTCTTCATGGCTTTATTTCATAATTTGTTCAGAATGTGGCAAGGAAAGGTATGCTGCTTATTGGGTTTCCATAAAGATTTCAGTAACAGGCTACTGTCATGTCTTGACTATACTGCCAGTATACTTTGCTATGTATTCACTAAACATGATTCAAATGCAGGGATGCTCTTTCTATTTTCTTTAGGTTTTGATTTTGAATAGTTAAGAGAGTCAACTAGATTCCTAAGTTTACTAAGGCAAACAGCAGCCTCCTCTCCTCATTTTCCCTTATCCAGAGGCACCCCCCCCTTCAATTTTTTTACCTGATTCTTTTTATCTACCTCTATATTTTTAAGTAAAGGCCTGTACTGCTGTATTTTGAGTTTGCAGTTTTAGGTACTGTCTACTAATTTCCTATTACAGAAGATAAGAATTTAGTGCTTTCTCCCATCACACACATTCACACTATATCCTTCCAATGTAGTGAAACCACAATTTTGGTTAGATCAGTATGCTATTCAGAGCTGAGTCATAAAGTATAACTACATGTTCTTTGCTGTACAATTTTTTATTAAAGTTGGTAATTATGTTATTCTCCTTTGCTTAGGCCTCTAGTGGTAATTCTATCCTAAACTCATTACAGGTTGTTTAAACACCTCTCTATTTTTATATTCACATCAGGTTTACCAATTTATCTTCCTGAACATTCATGAGGTCTTTTGTTTTGTTTTGTTTTTAAGATTTTATTATTTATTTGAGAGACAGAGACAGTGAAAGAGAGCATAAGCGGGGAACGAGAGGGAGAAGCAGGCTCCCCACTTGAGCGGGGAGCCCGATGTGGGGCTCGATCCCAGGACCCTGAGGTCATGACGTGAGCCGAAGGCAGATGCTTAACTGACTGAGCCACCCAGGTGCCCCCTGAACATAAGGTTTTATAATCTGCTCTAATCTGTAATGGCCGGCGTGGTCATAGGCACCTAGTCATTTACCACGTTGTAATTTAAAGGTTAAAAATGTTCCTTAATTCCATCAAATAATAAAGTTTGTAACCTCTTTTAAGATAACATTCAAGAAAAGAAAACAAAAACCATTTTTTTCTTCATGCTCTTTTTTTAAAAAAGTAAACTCTACTCCCAACATGGGGTTCAAACTCATAACCCTGAGATCAAGAGTCACACACATGCTCCACCGACTGAGCCAGCCAGGTGCCCCACTCTTCATGCTTTTAAAACCAGAAGCCTCTACATCGCTACAACTGTCCTTTTACCACATTCAGATAGAACAGTTTTATAATTTTACAAGGAAAGCAATCTCCTGTTATGGGCTTAAAGGGTTCAGTTAATGTAATTAATAGAATGCATCGGTTTTAAGAGGTGCCTTTAGTGTAAAGTCATAATAATACAGAAATGTGAGCAGGATACAGACAGAATTCTACTTTGCCTTGTAAGATGCAAACCATGAAAATTCCAACATATATTAACAAAACTCCAAAAGCAGGGACTTTTTTTTTTTAACATTTTATTTATTTGAGAGAGAGAGAGAGAGCGCGCGAGCACGCATGCAAGCACATGAGTAGGGAGGAGGGGCAGAGGGAGTGGGAGAAACAGGCTCCCTGCTCAGCAGGGAGCCCCACATGGACTCAATCCCAGGACCCTGAGATCATGATCTGAGCCAAAGGAGATGCTTAACCGACTGAGCCACCCAGGCGCCCATAAGGTTAAAAACTCAACACTGGTATCAAAATAAAAGGTGAAGCACTTTTAAGAGTTTCTCTTAAAACTCTTTCAAGAATGAAAAATAGAGGGAAAAAAAATGCTATCTTCATTGAAATAAACTTTCACAACCCCCAATTTTTTTTTTTTATTTCACAACCCCAAATTATTATCTATAAAACACTTGCCCAATATTGTGAAATCTGGATAAGGAGGAGTAGGGTGCTGAAACCTAACAAATGTTATCTTAGACCTTTAGCAAGGTAGTTTTCCCCAAGTAACTGAAGGTTCTCATAAGCCTAGCTAAGGATCTTCTAAGGTGATCAGATCTAGTGGCATGACTGGAACACGGAAAAGAAATATTCCCATAGTATTATTTTCATAAAAATAACTCAGGCACAAGAAGTAAATGTGAGCAAGAATACACACTAATGTGCAATTTCTGTCATCTAAAACTTATGCTTCCTATCTAAGGGAAACTATCCAAAGTAAAGGAAAATGAAAGGAGAGAAAGGATAGCCAGATTTCAAGATAGATAATCTGTCATCTGTCATGTGTTAAATTCATAAATTTAGAATGTCTCCAAAATTTTATAGCAATTTGGCATTGCTATGGCATTCTTATTGTATTTTACAAAAATAACACTCTGCAATGGACTTAATATTAAACCAAGATAATTGGGAACCTGTGAACACTGATAGAAAAATTATTTTTAGGAATGAGACTGGCACAATAGCCAAACTGTGGAAAGAGCCAAGATGTCCATCGACAGA